ACCCTGCCCCGCCCCCCAGTCGAGCACAAGATCGACACTCTGGTGGCGGCCCCTGCTGCTGTAGAGGAGGCCCTGGCCTCCCTCATAGTGGACCACCAGGTGGGGGGAGACCCTCGGCTGGCCCGGGGCCGTGGGCGGCGGTCTGGGGGGCATAACCGACGGCGCCGCCACTTGCACCATGCTAGCGCACCACCTGCCTTGCCCCGGTGGCGCCCTGTGGCGAACCGCTGCCGACCGGCGCCTCGTCCCTTGCCGCGGCGGCCCCCCACTCCCCAGGACCCCGCGCTGCAGTACCGCGCCCTGCTGACCTACATCAAGAGGATCTACCACCCCTTCCTGCTCAGGGAGCCCCAGGTGACCGCAGGGCGGGCAGCAGAGCGGGGAGCGGCCCAGAAGAGACATGCACTTCAGGGGACGCACAAACACACACACACACACACACACACACACACACACACTCACACCAGGTGTCTATCAGTGGCGGCAAGGTGGTGGCTGCCTGGATCTACGACGACCCGCGCCTCGCAAACACCAGCCACGCCCGCCACCAGGTGCGGCCCCTCGCGGGGCGGGGCCCGCGGCGCACCCGCACACTGACCAGCGCGCGCCGCTCCCTCCCTCAGCCGGGGCACCCGGCGGTCCGCTGCCGAGGCGATTCTCGCTGCGCCGCGCCGCGTGCATGGACTGTTGCAGCCCAGAAGCATGGACTGTTGCAGCCGACCATGCAACCCAGCCATTGTATTGACAGCGACGCTGTCTACAGCACTCACTAGTCCAGTCAAGCCAGTCCCCTCAACCGGGGGTTGAAATGCCATGGTAATTCATCACACCCCTTGTCACGTGTCGTTGAATCGAAACACACATCATCCCATCCACCCCCCCCCCCCCGCCACCACCAGGGTGGTGCGTTCCTAGTGGTGCCCAGCCTGGCTGAGCTGGAGGGCGCCCTGCCCGCGGTCGCCCACGCCATGTCGGCGCTCGGCACAGACTGCGCCGGCGGCACGCTGCACGTCGCCGTGTGCGGTGGGCGCCGCCGCGCGCGCGCTCGCGCTGGCGCCCGCGCTCTCGGCGCTTCGATGCGTATCCGCACTTTGGGGGATGCCCTCTGCCGGCCTCTCCCCCTTGCTGCGGCATAGCAGTCAAGAGCCCTCGCAGACACCAAAGCCGCAGCCTGAGTCCCGCTCTCTTGAAATCCCGGTGACAGGACCGCCCACAATAGTCTTCAGCAGCCGGTTCACTGTCCCAAACCCCCTGTTTTTTCAAACCCCCAGGGTCAGATGCGGTGAAGCTGTCGCCTGGCGCTGAGCAGCTGCTGGCCGGCGGCGCCCTGGGCGCGGCCGAGCCCGGCGCAAAGGTCTTCAGCTCCGCAGAGCTCATATCCCACGACGCCCCCGCCGCGGCCGCCGCCCACGGCAACGGCAACGGCGCCGCGGCGCTCGCGCGGGGCGCGGGGATGGGGCCCCAGGAGAAGGCGCGGCGCGTGGCGGCGGCGGTGGCGGACGCCAAGGCAACGCTGCGACGCCTGCAGGTGCGTGTGTGGGGGGTGGGGTCGGGGCTGGTCCGGCTGGGCTTAATGCCTCCTGCTTACCTGGCTGCGCGTGTGGGCCGACCACGTGCATGCGGGTTTTTGAAACCTCGTGAGGGGCTGCCAGACATCACGCCCTGCACACGCCCCCAGCCTGGGACGACGCCGCCCGCTTGCTTTCCCCGCTGCCTTCCGGCCGCAACGCCCGCCGCCAGCGGCCGAGCCTGCCCCCACATAGGACAGCGCTCCCCGTGCCCCGCGCGCCCAACAGAATCATATGCCGGCGGCCCCTCAGCCACGGCGGCCCCTCCTTGCCCCACTTCACCCAAACCAACCCAACTGAAACCAACCAACCGGGCCAACGCAAACGACCCTCTCACCCCGCCCAGGTTGCCACCGTGAGCGTGCTGGCCCCCGGCATGAGCACGATGCCGCTGCGCAGCGGCTTTGTGTGGGACGAGGCCGCAGACTGCTTCAAGTACGACCCCTTCCTCCGCCAGGTGCGCGAATGGGGCAAATTCTGCCATGCTGCCACGTATGTGCTGCGTCTGCTGCACCAGGGCGCCGCGCGTGCTGCGGCTGCCGCGGTGCGCGCGGGGCTCTACGCGTGAGTGCATAGATGGGGGTCCGGTCGCCGCAGGCGTAAGCAGCAGTAGCTGACTTTTGGGTGCCTTGATACAAGAAAGGGAAAGCACACGCACGCGCATGTGTGCGCACAACACACACACACACACACACACACACACACACACACACACACGCACACATGCACACACACACACACACACACACATGCACACACACACGCACCACCCTACACCCAGGTGGAGGGCCCCGTGGCGCGCCTGCTTGAGCTGGACAAGCTCTCCAGCCAGCAGGTCGCCTACACCCCCAGCCGCAACAGGCAGTGGCACATGTACGCCTGCAGCGACAGGGAGCCCAGGGGGCCCGAGCTCAAGCGGCTCTTCCTGCGCGGACAGGTGCGCGGGAGACTACGCAATTCTCAACCCCCCCCTTCCCCATTCAACAGCGCCCCGTCTGCATCCCTGTGGGACCACTCACGAGCGCGACATCGCGAGTAGAGGCGGCTGTGAGGTGTGAAGCTGCGTGAAAGCTCGTCTCCTGGTGCGCCCGCCGAGCCACGCCCCCACGGCGCCTGGGGACCGCCCCCTCTGCCATCGCCCCCCGGCCCGCAGGTGCGGCAGCTGGGCCACCCTGCGCTGCTGGCGGCGCAGTACAGCGGCAACACGCCGGCCGTCGCCGCCGCAGCGGTCAAGGAGCTCGAGGAGGCCCTGGTGCGCAGCAGGGAGGACTGGAAAAATCATAATCTGCACCTGCATGCTTGTGCATACAGGGCCAAAGCGCGCAGCGCGTGCGCTCCTCCTCGGGGCTGCCTCCCGCCGCCCCACAGCCAGCCACCGAGCCGGGGCGCGCGTGTTCCCCTGGCCGCGCGCGCCCCGGCCCTGCGCCCGCCCCCCACGCCGAGGCGCGGATCCCCTTTCAGCCCCTGATCACCCCCAACC